TGTGTGTGTGTGTGTGTGTGTGAGAGAGAGAGAGAGAGAGAGAGAGAGAGAGAGAGAGAGAGAGAGAGAGAGAGAGAGAGAGAGAGAGAGCAAGTCTCCAAACACACACACACACACAAACACACACATTCCAACAAATTCCACGTCCCAAACTTTATAATCTAATCAGAATACGAAATTCTCTATTGTTCTTGCGTCGCCTTAGCGCACCCACCGTGACGGGTTCGCTGTGGTCGATGTGCACACGACCGCGCCAAGGAAGAGGAGTGAGGAAGGTCAGCCATCGGCCGCTCTCGGATGAGCGCGTGATTGGACTGGGTTTGAGAGCAGGCGTTCGGGTGGAAGAGAAGGCGCGGCAGCCCCCAGAGTTAGTAGTGCCACCTAGCTATGGTTGGGGCCCCTGGCACGAATCCGGGAAGGCGTGGTGCTCAGCAAGGATAAGCGAAAAGGAGACTGATGAAGAGCAAGTGGTCACGGGGAAGAGGACACGGAGGAAGCCACATGGCAAGCTAGACAGACAAGGCGAAAGCTTAGCATAGCAGCCCAAGGAAGGAAGGGAGACAGGTAGGGCAGAGTAGCTCAAGGAGGTGAGGGAGACAGACAAGGCGAACGACAACAGAAGGTGGCAGGAGACAAGGCAAAGGTATAGCACAACAGTGTATAGCACAACAGAGGAGACAGACAAGGAGAAAACAAAGCAGAGCAGTCAAAGGAGGGGAGGGGAAAGACAAGGCGAACAACAACAACTGGAGGAAGGAGGGGATAGCCAAGGCGAATAGTTATAACTGGAGGAAGGAGGAGTCGATGAGAGACCGGCGGGCCGTGGCTCGAGGCAAGGAAGGGACTCCACAAGAACCGACAGACGGCGAGAAGAGGCTCAGGGGTTTGACCCCCCCTCCTTTGGGGCCTCGGGGATCTTCCCCGGTGAAGGAAGGGGAACAACCCCGAAGGTAAGAACTGACCCTGGTCATCCCGAACGAGCACACCGATCCCGGTCCCAACCTCCATCCTCGCTCCCCTTCTCCCTCCAGAACCCCCCTCCTCCTTGATCCCGATCTTGATCCTGCTCCCCGATCCCGTTCTACCCCGTCATCGCGCCCC